AAGGACCTCAAGAGGTCGGAGGAGAACTCACCACCCCTGTCAGAGTGCAGACGCAGGACAGGAAGGTATGTGCGGAACCGCTCGCGCAGCTGGAGACGGACAGCTCGGATCCAAGGGATCAAAACAGCAGGGACCTCACCCTTGCTGCGCAAGGGGAAGACCGTGGTGTAACGCGAGTAGTCGTCGACAACCAGCAGAAAGTAGCGCTCGCGGCCCTGTCCCTGGACGCGGGCTGGGCCCCACACGTCCATGTGGAGGGTCTGCAGAGGAGCCTCTGTCGGGGGAAACGAGGAGGAGTGAGGAGCGGCGCGCTGCCGCCCCTCGACGCAAGGAATGCAGGGCGGGGCAGGCGAGGGTGGGAGGGAAGGCAGAGACCTGGGAAGACCAGAGACCAGAAGGCGAGAGTGCATGCCACGAAGGCGTGGCAGGGAGGGGTGACCAAGGCGGTGGTGCCAAAGGAGAGTCTGGTGCGACAAGCGGCGACACTCACAGGGGGCTGCTACCGGACCTGACGGGGACACCTGAGCGGATGCAGCGACCTGAGGCGGCGCAGTATTCAGTATGTACAGACTCGACCCCGGCCGAAGAGTGAACGTGGCCAGGTGACGGCCAGTCCGAGAGCACGTACAGATCGCCACACGCTGCCATCCAGGTGTAAAGGTATCAACCCCTGCATCCTGGAGGACTGCGTTGCTCACCAAGTTCGTCGAGAACGAGGGGAGGTGGAGACTTGACAGGGAACCAGACGGAACGGCCAGGCACGGGAGCACAGTAGAGGCGCGTGCAAGAACCGGGCCCCCAGAGGGGTCAGCCAGGGAAACTGCAACAGGCCTGGTGAGTGGTGTGACTGTGGTACTGTCGTGAAAGAAGCAACGAGAAGCACCTGAGTCGAGCGTGAAGGTGTGCGAGGTCTCAGCAGCCGCAGTACGAGAGAGAGCAGACTCACTAGCACCTAGAGCAGCAGCCTCTATACCAGGGTCATACGGCGCACACAAGTAACAGTCACCCTCAACACTAGTAGACAGAGCATACATGCTAGTAAGGATAGCATCAAAGTCTAGAGCAAAGATATCAACACCAATCTTAATCAGGTCTGCCCAGCGGGGCAGCTCATGCTCCTCGCCCATCTCCTGACGCCAAGCGTCGTCTAGGCGGGAGAAACAACACTAGGTGTGAAACTTCCCGCAGGTCTGACCATCGCGGGTACCTGTGCGAATAACGTACGCGCAGCGACCACTACCACCACCCCTAAACGCAGTACCCTGAGCAAGCCACTCACGAAGCTGCTGGGGCGAGAGGGCCTCACGCGGACGCCGCTGCCGCTGCTGCTCAACTGCGCCAGAGCAATCACCACCGCCGCCGCTGCCACCACTCCCGCCGCTGTCACTCCCACCACCACTGCTCCCACTGCCACCACGACCACTGCCACCACCACCCCCGCCGCCACCGCCACCTCCGCAGCCTACGCCCCCACTCGCTCCACCACTTCCACCGCCACCTCCACCACCTCCGCCTCCCCAATCACCTCCACCACCACCTCCCCCGCCGCCACCCCCACCACCCTTGCCCCCCTTGCCCTTGCCGCTGCGGCGCTTCCCACTAGGAGCAGAAGCAGCACCGACCTCCTCAGCACCAAGGAAGTCGACAGCAGCGGCAGAGGCAACTAAGGGGGCGAGGGGGGAGGGGGAGCACCCCTCAAAGAAGGGCGTGCGAGGGGTGCCACGGGTAGCACCTACAGCGACAATGTTCGCTTCAGCTGCAAGAAGGTGCTTCCCTAGCAGGTCGATAGTGAGGTCTGTGGGGGGGAGAGCGAGAAGGGTGTCCCGGACTGCACTAAGAGAGTCAGGGAGGCGTGTCACTATGAAGTGGAGAGTGATATAGATCGGGGGCTCGTTCTTGGGCAGGAACTTGGCAGGGAGGGCAGCACGGTAACGAGCGTCTGTAGCGCGAAGGTGGGATAGGAGATCATCTACAGTGGCGAAGGAGGATAGGTCAGGGAAAAGGTAGGGCAGGAAGAGGCGGGTAAGCGCTGCAGTGGCAAGAGAAGAGTAGCGGGCAACTACAGCGTCGTACAGGGTCTTAGCAGTCTTCGCCTGGTCAAAATGCTCGCATTCAGCTACCGGCAGGTGGTTGCGAATGGCTAGGCGAGCAGCAGCATCGCGGGTAAGCCACTGTGAGCGAGTCGTCGCGTCAGCTGAGGCTGGTGGGGCAGTGGAGGCACCAGTCGCTAGGTCATAGAGCGAAACACCGTCCCTAGCGTCGCTCAGTAGGTACAGCTGCAGGTCCTAGAGCCAGGTGTCGAATTTGACTTGGCGGCCGTTAGGATCAAATGAGAGAATACGCAGAGTGGCCATAGTTTAGCAGCTTAGAGGCAGCACAAGGGCAGGGCGCAGGCTGCAAGGGCGTTGCGCGTGGCTGGAAGGGCGGCGCAAGGGGCAGGGCAGAGGCGGCGCGAGGGCTGCAGGGGTTGGGCGCAGGCTGCAAGGGCGGCGCACGAGGTGGGGCAGGGGCAGCGTGAGGGCTGCTGAAGCTGCGCGCGGGGCAGCAAGGGCGTGCAGGCTGCCGGGGCATGCCCACGGGGCAGGGAAGCGGCGCGCAGGGCTGTCGGGGCTTAGCGCGGGGCAGGAAGAGCGGCGCGCGGCCTGCTGGGGCGGCGCGCGAGGCTGCTAGGGGCCGCGAGGGGCAGGGAAGCGCAGTGCGCGGGCTGCTGGGGCGGCGCTCGGGGCTGCTAAGGGGCCGCGAGGGGCAGGCGAGGCAGCGCGCGGGCTGCTGGGGCGGCGCGCGGGGCTGCTAAGGGGCCGCGAGGGGCAGACGGGGCAGCGCGCGGGCTGCTGGGTTTACCCGCGGGGCTGCTAAGGGGCCGCGAGGGGCAGACGGGGCAGCGCGCGGGCTGCTGGGGCGGCGTGCGGGGCTGCTAAGGGGCCGCGAGGGGCAGACGGGGCAGCGCGCGGGCTGCTGGGGCGACGCGCGGGGCTGCTAAGGGGCCGCGAGGGGCAGACGGGGCAGCGCGCGGGCTGCTGGGGCGGCGCGCGGGGCTGCTAAGGGGCCGCGAGGGGCAGACGGGGCAGCGCGCGGGCTGCTGGGGCGACGCGCGGGGCTGGAGAGGGCTGCGCGCGGGCGGCTAAGGCGACGCGCGGGGCAGCGGGGGGCAGCGCACGGGCTGCAGGAAAGAGCGACGCACGGGCTGCAGGGGCGGCGCGTGCGGGCGGTACAGGGCAGGGTAGGTTGTGGGGTAGCGCGGTAACCGGTGGGCCCGAAAAAAAAACCGGTTCTACGGACCTACTGCTCTGATACCATGTTGAGATTTGGACTAGGAATGATGGTGAGACTAGAAACAGTCGGGATACAAATAGGAACCCTAGAAAGTAGTACCCCGTGTTAGCTACCCTACTACAGCCTACAAATAACCAAGTCTATTATAACTTTACAAATCTCCCCGCTCAATACAGTAGCGAAAAACCTGTTGTAGGTGTTACTCTGAACGTGGGGAAGCCCAGTTCCCTAAAACGCCTAATGAACCCCTTACCTACCTTGTGTCCACCACGAAGTCTCCGTCCGGCGAATGAAGATGCGAATGCAAACAGGGTGTTGGGGAACGACTAGCGCAAAACATCGCCCGGGGGAAAACAAATTCGCCAGCAGCAATTGTGCATGCGTATCGTGGTATCGTTCTGTGGGCGCATTGGGGGTGCTTTGACCTGACGACGAATATTCTAGGAACACGCATAACGAGCTTAAAGCCCACGTCGAGCCTCTTCATTCGTTATTGTGTACTGAACCTGGTAGCATTTGCTGTGCGCCGATGGGTAAGAGAACGCATCACAACCAGTGGGTTCAGACCTACTTGGAAACTTCTCTCACGGGCAAACTGGAGCCACCGCTCATGCGAACCCTATCCGCCCATCGGAGTGGGGATAAGGGGACGCACAAGCAATAACGGGCAGGTCTCAACGCCCGTTATCGGGAAATTTGGCGATGAGTTGACTCACCACAAAAATATACCAAGAGAGAGGCAAGGGTAAACCCAAAGGCCGAAGGTTTGTGAGTGGTTGGAATAAAACATTTTGAGCATCTTGGGCAGACTGGGCATGGTGAACGAAAAAAACATGGGTTGTTTGCAAACTCGCTTTGTCGTTAGCAACAAACTTCGCCGAGGCCGCGGGAGGGTTGACCCTTTCGAGGAAAGCCCATCCCGCAGTGCTTGTGCGGAAGGCCCAAACTGCTCATGCGGCAAGAGAACGAGGCCCGTACAGAAAAAGTAACTCGGGAAGTTTCGCCGGCCGCTTCGTGATTTCGAGCAGGCAAATCAACTGGCTGTTTCAGCATTAGCACTTCTACCGTAATCTCCCGGCAAGATGACCCCCCCCACGTACAAGCCCCTGGGTCCTTTATCCGGACCAGGGGTCTTTTATTCTGTCAGTCCTGTAGAGGACCCGTGTTTTGGTACAAATTATTATAAGACCCCTGTGTTCCCCTGATTTGCATTTTTCCAGTGCATACATGCATATTTTAGGCAGATTTCTAAGAAAAACTAAGTCTAATTCATTAAAACATGTTAGATAAGATGGTACACAAACTAAACTACGGTAGACACTCTAGGCCTGCAGACACTACCAGTACTAAACACCGTTCAGCTGCAGCTACACCTATCTACTCCTCCTCTTCCTCCTCCAGGGCTTCCTCCTCATCCTCCCCCTCCATCGCAGCGTACTCCTCCTCCTCCTCCTCCTCGCCAGTGGTGTACATGGGGTTCACCCATTCCTCGACGTCACCCGCCGCATGCACGTCGTCGTGCACCTCCACCTGTGCTGCATCGCGCATGTGCGCGAGGATCAAGTGGTCCTCGCGCCCGTCAGGGTTGTTGGTGATGCCGCAGGTCTTGAACGAGCGGACGATGAGGTCCTCAGGGACGGCGGCCCAGGCCGTGGCGATCCACAGCAGCACCAGCTCTGGGGGCGGCTTCCTGAGGTTGCCTGCAGTGGTGGAAAGAGTGGAGGGCGTTAGAATTTTGTAGGAATGGAAACAGAATAGGCACAAAGAAGAAGTTTCTTACCAGCAGGGGTCAGGGTGTTGATGCCGTACTCGGCAAACCAGTCGTTGTACATCTGCCGGACGCCAGCCTTGAACGAGCGATTGATGCTCACGTCCAATGGCTGCAGGAGAGGCGTGCACCCGCCAGGAGTGATGGCTGGCGTGATGCGATGCCAGAGAAGCGTGCTCCGTACTGCGTCCGTGAGATGCCCACGGTACGAGTCCAACACGAGCAGCGCCCTGCTGCGGGTGATGCCTGGGCGGGGGCGCGTCTGAGGGAGCAGCACGTTCTGCACCCAATCCATGACGAGGGTGGAATCCATCCAGCCTCGTTCTTGTGCCCGAAGGAGCATACCTGCACATGGAAAGCATAGAGTGTGAGTGGTGGTCTTAACAATCACACCACTGCCAATTTTAACGGGAAGACACTCACCGGGCGGGACGGGGATGTTGGGGACGGTCTTGCGCTTGAGGATCACCATCGGCGGGAGCTTCACCCCCGTGCCCGTGACAGCCAGCATCACGGTCATCCGCGCCTTCTCATACCCGGCGCTGCGAACTTGAACCGCGCGCTCGCCACGGTGCGCCAACGTCCTCTCGTGCGGCATCTCGAGGAACACCGGCGTCTGGTCGGCGTTCACAATGTTCCAGTCGTCGATGCCGTGGCGGACAATTTGCCTCCTGCAGAACTTCCAGAAGCTCTCACACTTCGGCTTGCAATCTGCAGGTAAAAAACAAGGTGGTGTTAGAAACGGTACTTCAAAAACACGACACACCAAGACATTACACAACAAACGCACCTTTCGTCAGCCGCTGACCGATCTTGGTCTTTACCCTCACGGTCAATCCCCACCGCATGCGAAACCTGAAGGTCCATCGCGGAGAGGCGCGCCAGTCGACCTCAGGGTGCCGGTTCTTCATCAAAATCCGGCTCCACGTCTGCAGCAGCTTAATCGGGACCGCCAGTCCCCGCGACCTGTGGGAGAGGAACTGCTTGTAAACAGAGAGCTCCATGTCGGGGTAGCGAGCTCGCCGCCCGCCACCTGAGAGCCGCAGACGGCTGCCAGACGCCGATGCCATCTGCTCAGCCACCTTCTTCCAGCGCCGGATGCTGACAGGTTGCACGCCGGCCATCCGTGCAGTTTCGCGTACCGTGAGGTGCTCATCGCGCATCCGCGTCAGCCACGAGGTCTTCTCCGCCATTGAGCGAGCGTGGCGCTTGTGCTTGTTGACCCTGTTGCGGGAATCGGGGGTTACAGCATCACGGGTCACTGAGGCAGGGTCGACATCGCGCAGCACATCATTGGGAAAGCGAGGGAGAGGATAGGGAACACTTTCATCGGATGATGCGGCACCACCACTCTCTGGATCTTCGGACGAAGACGTGTCAGGCGCTGGCTGCCCAAGGAACTCCTCTTCGCCCAAACCCGCTTCGAAGGGGCGTGGGAACGGGGGCCAGGGAGGAGACGGAGGAGCGGGAGGTGCGGGAGGCGCAGGAGGAGCAGGAGGCGCTGACGGGGCCGGCGGTGCCGGCGGGGCAGGTGGAGCTGGAGGTGTGTTCGCCATGGCTGCAAGGCCGCGGGCTGCACTAACAGCCCGCATCTTAATCAACATGTCCAGCGCCGACTGTCAGAATGAGGAATGGATGATGCATTGATGTTGGTTGGGGTACATATAGCTAACCCTAAGTTTTGTACCCCCTAAGACAAACCTCACTATAGGCTACAACATTTGACACCGACATCCCGGCGCCTGTAGGTGAGAGCTTGCTAAGCTAGCGGGTGAGAACATGGTGAGCTCCATGTCGAGGGGAGGCTTTCAACTCAGCCAAAAAAATGAAAATGAGCCTCATCGACTCAGACTACCCCCCTCTGAAGCCGGGGAGGACAGGGACGTGAGCTGGGGTGAGTTCACGTTCCCCGTGGCGCATGCAACCCAGCTGTGCACGGTGGAACGTTCAGGAACCCATCACCCCATCGGATGCAATGTATCTGATGGGGTGATGGTGGTGTGGTCAACACACCAATAAAGTGCAGGGGCGCTGCGCCAGCACCTTCGGATGTTGCCGCCGTCATGCTTCAATGTGTGACGTGTGGCATGGGGTGAGGTGTGCGAAAGCAGCGATATGGTTCCTCGCTTACAGCCAACCTCGAATTCGCAGTGAACAAAAAATGTTTTCAATCAACACTCTTCCTTACAATTCAAATTTATGTAATCATTAAATGTCCAGGGGTCTTATGCACTTCATGCCATTAAACAAGACCCCACAACCCATTTCAAGCACATTTAGGATAAGACCCCCGGGTCTTCTAACCGGGAGATCACGGTAGACTACACTCTATAGCACATTTCATCATAGCGATTCTGTGCTTGGGTACTGGTAACTAATTGATTTTCTCAACTTGATGGAACTTATGCATTCATACCGAACCATATCATGTGTATACCCCTGTGAAAGATGCACTTCGTCGATAACATTCAGTAAATTTTCCACAACCCTACTTGCGAAAGAAGAAAAATCGTATGCCCTGAGCAGCTTTCTTTCACCTAACCACCTCCACCCTGCTCTACCAGCTTTCCTCACCTCCACTCCCACCCACCCATCCTGCCACCCAACCACCCTTGCTCCTCACAGCTGAACTTAGGCCAGCTCGCCTCTGCACTTGGCACATACCCCGCTGCACCAACCAAGCCCCACCCCCCTCCCCCGGGCGTGCACACCAGCAGCGTATCCCCCCTCTCCACCCCCACACTCGCCTTCCCTCCCAAATTCACCACCCTCCCATCCCGCGTGATCCGCAGCAGATTCAACCCCCTCGCACCACACCCGCCGCCCGCGCCCCCATTCGGCGCCAAAACCCGCCTCTCAGACAGCATACTGACAGTAGCAGGCCGTAGAAATTCCACCTCCCGCTCCACCCCATGCCCGCCCCGCCTCTCCCCACTCCCGCCGCTCCCCTGCCGCAGCCTGAACCTTCTCAGAAGCACAGGATAGCGTCTCTCTAGCACCTCAGGGTCTGTAATTCTGGTGTTGGTCATGTGGCTCTGCACCCCGTCTTCTCCCTGCCATGCCGGCCCCGCCCCCACCCCTCCTGCTATCGTCTCATAATACCCGAAAGTCCCATCGCCGAACGTGAGGTTGTTCATACACCCCTGCGAGTTCGCCGCCGCGGCAAACGTGGCGAGAATGATATCCGTCACCCGCTGCGACGTCAGCACGTTCCCGCCCACAACAGCAGCAGTGTCACTCGGCGAGAGCAGCGAATGCAGCGGGAGAGTAATCCTTACAGGCGCCAGGCACCCCTGGTTGAGGGGTATATCCGAATCCACCAGGCAGCGCAGGCAGTAGATTATAGCAGCCGTGGTGACGGCAGTAGGGGCATTCCAGTTGCCGTAGACCTCAGGGCTGGTGCCTGTGAAGTCGAAGTGGGCTGAGCCGGAGGAAGGGTGGATGGAGATGCGCAGGCGGATCAATGAGCCATCGTCCATGCGGTCCTCTCCTTGCAGCACCACCACCTGCTGCCCATCCGCATCACGCTCACCGTCACCATCAGATGGTAGGGTCTTGTCAGCTGCACCCTGCTGTGCCTGGGATGCCTGGGACGCCTGGGACGCCTGGGACGCCTGCTTGGAGGCCTTTCGCTGTTCCTGTGAAGCCTCCTGTGAGGCGGGCTCCTGAGACGCCTGCTTCTGGCTCTCTAGGTGTTTCAGGGCAGTGCGGGTGAGCATGCGTCGCACCACCTGCTCCGCATTCACCTGCACGTACCCCATATAAGCTAGCACCGTTTCCAGCCCACACTCCTCCACCAGCTCCCCTATAAGCTCAATGCCCCGCTGATTTGCCGCCACCTGTGCCCGCAGATCTGATAGGTTATCCTCGATGCGGCGTGTGCCCGGCACACGCCGCACTGTTCTTCCACCGACCTGTTCGGACCCACTCAACCCCGCTCCACCTGCCATCACCCCTTCCAACACCTGTCCCTCCAGCAGCACCGCTCGAATCGCCTCTTCCTGGAAAACCCCTCCCTTCACCAGCTTCATTGTCCGAATCGCCGCCCCCTCCTCCCAAATACTCCGTGAAAACGGCGGCATGCTCCCAGGGGTACTTCCCCCAATCTCCGAATGATGCCCGCGACTCGCGACAAAAAAAATAATCCTACCCTCGCGAAACACCGGCGTGACTACAGTGATATCCGGCAGGTGACTCCCCCCAGCACAGGGATGATTCGTTACAAGCACATCCCCTTCCTTCAACCCGCCCTCCGCCACCCCCGCCCCTCTCCCCCAATACTCCAGCTGCCATCTCACCGTATCCGACATAGCCCCCAGATGCACCGGCACGTGGGGAGCGTTGGCCACGAGGCCCCCATCCGGGGAGAAGAGCGCGCAGGAGAAGTCGAGGCGCTCCTTGATGTTGGTTGAGATGGCGGTGCGCTGCAGCGTCCGCCCCATCTGCTCCGCGATGCCCATGAAGCGATTGCCGAAGATGGACAGCCGCACCACGTCCCAGGGGACTGCGGGGGAGGAGGAAGGGAAGGCTCCTGTTGATAGTGGTGCTGCTTCTGCTCCTCTAGCCTCTGCTGCTGCTGCTGCTGCTGCTGCTCCTGCTCCTGCTGCTGCTGCTGCTCCTGCTCCTGCTCCTGCTCCTGCTCCTGCTCCTGCTGCTGATGCAGCTGTTGCTGCTGCTCCTCCCTCGACATCACTGTCATGCGACGTGTGCCCCACAGCAATGACGATATTGCCATACTTGGTAATCCCAGCACTGCACCCCGGCTCCACCACCACAGTGCTCGTCCCATTCAGAATCACTGCCGGCCCAGCCACCACATGCCCCCACCGCAGCTTCTCCAGCCGGAATACTGCCGTCTGCCGCCAGCCGCCTTCAAAGTACACCCGGTGCTGCACTGCCTCCGCCTCTAACGCCCCTGCTGCCACCAAGCCTCCTTCTGAATCCCCCACTTCACTTCCCCCAGCCCTGGGAATGGCGGTCTGCTGCAGCACGCCGGAGGGAGCCACGCCCTTGACTCGCACGTCGTCGATGAGCACGCGCCGGTCGCCCTGCAGGTCGAACCCGAACTCGCGCTCAAACCGCCGCTTGAACGCGCCCAGGAAGTCAAACGACGCTGCCGGGTGGGTGGCAGGGGGAATGGTGGATGAAGGAGAGGTGGAAGAGGGCGTGGTGGAGGGGAGAGAGTGTGTGGGTGGTGCTTCCACCATGAGGGCCGTGTCAGTGCCGTCATAACGAAGGTTCAGAAGCACCTGCGTCCACACCCCTGCCTCCTCACCGCCCTCTCTCCTCCCCTCCCCTCCCTCTCCTCCCTCTCCTTCTCCCTCACTCCCACCCCCCTCACTCCCCCGTCCGCACAGCGCCACCCGCACTTCCTCCTCCATCCGCGCCGCCCGGGCCAGCACACGTGGCAGGCTCTCATTGGAGCACACCTCGGCAGCAGGCTCTTGCATCTCAACCACCCGATCTGCCAACCCCATGCCGTACGCGCTTAAAATCCCACACAGCCGATGCACAAACACCGTGGAGATCCCGAGGGACCGGGCGATGGCGCACGCATGCTGAGGTCCGGCGCCGCCGAAGCAAGCGAGCACGTGCGAGCTGGTTTCGTGTCCCCGAGCCTCGGTGAGCTCTCTGATTGGCCGGCACATTGCCTCGTTTGCCACGCGGATAAACCCCATCGCCACCTCTTCTACTGACATTCTCCCCTGCCCTGACTCCTGCCCCCCCTCCCCCTCCTTGCCCCCCTCACCCTCCCCCCCACCCATCCCGCGGCTCACTTCTTTTGCCAGCTCAGCCATTGCCTCCCTTGCCGCCTGCTCGTCCAATGGGAGGTCCTCATTTGGCCCAAAAATGGCAGGAAAATATTCGGGCAGCACGCGGCCCAATAGCAGGTTGGCATCTGTCACCGCCAGCTGCCCGCCCTTCCTGTAGCAGACCGGGCCGGGATGGGCTCCCACTGACGCGGGCCCCACACGTAACATGCCCGACTCGAAGAAAAGACGAGAGCCGCCGCCCGCTGCTACAGTGTTTATGTCGAGCTGGGGGGCTTGGATGGTGATGCCGGCAGTGGTGGTTTCTAGAACCTGCTCGTATGCACCACCTGCGTATCTTGACACGTCAGTAGATGTGCCACCCATGTCAAAGCCAATCACGGGGCGACACCTCATCGCTCCCTCTGCTGCTGTATCAGCACCAATAGAGTCGTCTTTTGTATGGTCGTTATCGTTTTGGCTGTTTTCTTTGCTGCTGCTGACGTCAGACAGGAGTCCTTCCAGACCCTCCATTTCCCGAGCCTCAAACTCGAATGTGGTTCGGGCAAACCCAACCACGCCTCCTGCCGGACCTGACAGGATGGCTTGGTAACCCGTAAAGGCTTGGGCGGGAGTCAACCCTCCGTCCGACCGCATAAACGACACTGCCACGTCAGCAAGACCCGAGTCAAACCCTGCTAAGAACTTCCCCACGTAGGTGCGTATAGCAGGGGTCAGATACGCGTCCACGCAGGCAGTGTGTCCACGTGGCACGATCCTGACCATTGGAACGAGATCGCTCGACGCAGAGACCTGATTAAAGCCCATCTCCCGCGCTAAAGCCGCCACTGCGCACTCGTGGTCTGGGAAGGTGTACGAGTGGAGGAACGCGATGGCCAATGACTTGATGCCACGTGCCAACACCTTCTCCAGCGCGGCTCGAGTCTTTTCGATGTTAAGCGGCACTAGCACGCGCACTAGCTCCCCCGAAACTCCGCGCACCGTGCGCTTTCCCCCCTCCTCCCCCCCGTCAGCCTCACCCTCCCCAACCTTTCCCCCGCCTTCCGCCTCCCCCCCGCCGCCCCCCTTCCCCAGGCCCTCCCCCTGCGCCTCTTCCCCCGGAAGCACCTGCGCGCGCTCCTCCACCTCCACCACCTCCTCGTACAGCAGTGAAGCGCGCCGAGCCGTCAGATCGAAGATGCGCGGCCGCGCCTGGTTGCCGATCCGCAGCAGATCCGGAAAGCCACGTGTCACGCAGAGAGCCGTCCGTTCGCCGGCGCGCTCCAGCAGCGCGTTCGTCGCGACGGTGGTCCCCATGCGGATCCAATCGATTCGCTCCGTAGGAAGCGGCGCGTTTCGTGGAATCTTCTCGCCCGTGACCTCTTCAAGAATGCGGCGAATTCCTTCTCGCGGCGCGTCATCGTAGTTAAGAGGGTCCTCGGAAAGCAGTTTAACTACGCGGAAGGGCGGGTCGCCAGGAACCTCGGCGTAAATGTCGGTGAACGTGCCGCCGCGATCGATGCAGAAGCGGAATTCCCGGCGGGCTTCCGAGGCGGACGCTGACGTGGGCATAGTGAGAGATTAGAGCGATAATGGCAACACTAGAAGGGAAGTAAACGCGGGGCGTGTGTGGGTGGATGAGAGCACCGCCTAAATGCTTCGTATAACGAGATTTAGAAGCCGAAATTCATGACTGGAATTCAGGACGTCATCAAGGGTGATTTCTTGAGGCCTGAACAGGCCGCGGTTCTTTCCTGACGTCATCAAAGGTGCAATTTCGGTCCGACCGTCCCGAAGCATGCACCAAGAGAACCACATTTTTCGTAACGCGTCAAGTTATTTTGGAAGTGTGCCTATCTATGTTACATGCCCATCTATTTATGCATTCCACTTTACCTAGAGGGGACTTTCAACAGAACCACACCACACAGCACTGATATCAGTAAAACCACAACTGACGACCATATGTGAAAAGCTGGCAACTTCAACTATTCCACAACAATGTGCTTAGATAAACCTACGGTGCCTAGAGGAACATTCCCTGAAAATACTCGTCAAATTCCTCTTCTCGACTTGGCTCCACTGCCATTGCTGGCTGCTGCCACACATCCTCATTGGCTGATAGCGTGCCTCCTGCAGAGTGCACTCAAATTACCGTAAAAGGAACGTATGTACACAGTATACACACAGTACAAGATGGTTTGTAATGAGCGGCTTGGTGCAAGATGCATGTGCTAGGCACAGTGGCAGCAGACAGCATGTGGAGGGATCGACCTCTGCTCAAAACAAATAGACCTGGCAGCAATAGAACACGGCTGTCCTTGGCACACAGTCACAGAGCATCCTTCAACCAGCCCCTGTCTCTCACCTTGAATTACAACATTTTTGCCCTTGCCATCTGCCAAGCAACTTCCACTCCCCTGCTCCTGTCCCTGTCCATGCCCTTGTCCATGCCCTTGTTCTTGCCCTTGTCCCTGTCCCTGCCCAACCCCTGCCCTCTCACGTCCACTTCCTGCTGGTTTGCCAACACCCGACGCTCCACGTACCCCCCCATCCACCCCTGCTTCTCTCCCTTCACATGCCCCACTTGCCCCACCTGCCCCACTTGCCCCACCTGCCCCACTTGCCCCACCTGCCCCACTTGCCCCACCTGCCCCGCTTTCCCTGCTTCCTCCACTTAACCTGCCTGCCCCACCTACCATGCTTCCCCCTCTTTTTCCAGACTCATGCTCCTGCTTCTCCTTCCTAAGCTTAGCTGACTCCTCCCCCCTAGCACCGTGCCTCTCCCCAGTTCTTGTCTGCACTTCCTTCCTTCGTCTCTCCCTCTTTTGCTTCTTACGCCTCGTTGCATCGTCGCTCTCATCACCATCGCTCTCTGCTGCACCCCTCTCGCTACCGCTTGTGTCACTGGTATCACTACTATCGCTCTGGCTGCTGTTGCTAGAATCACTGTCGCTGTCTCTGCTTACAGGGAAGGCAAAGAAAGGCGGGAGGATGGTGATATGAGCAGAAAAAGAGACGATGGCAAAATTGTCACAAGAGGGGGTGAGGTGAGGGCGGTTCGGCAACAAAAAAAAGAAACAAACAAGGTGCAGAAAGCAAAGCTGGGCATGGTGCAATGAGGCAGATGAAACATGATGCAGTGAAGTTAAGGAAGGGGCTCCAGTCACTCCCATGAACGTGTTTCCCCATGAGTTAAAGAGCAGACAACCAAAGCAGCTTTGATACACATGGCAGGAAAATGCATACAACAAACCTCACTCCTCTTCACCCACTCACTATTGCCCCATTACTGCACATTCGTTTTTTTCCATTTATTCCTCTCACTTCTTTTGACACAATTCAACTCTCGGCACTCCTATGCACAATACACTCACGTTCACAACGCACTCACAGTAAGAGAGCAGTCAAGCTTACAGACTGAAACGCCCGAATTTCAGTCCCACAGTACTACTATTCAACATCCCAAGTTACCTTCGCGTCTTCCTTTTCTTCCTCTCCTTATGCCTTCTCTCTCGTTCCTCCCTCTCCCTCTCCTGCTCCTCTGCCGCTCGCTGCCGCTCCAACTCCTTTTCTTTGCGATAGTTGAGCTGATACGCATGTCTGAAACAAGGGGTGATGTGCAGTGAGGAGCGATGGTGAGGTGTAAGGTTAGACTTGGGCCGCCTTAGAGACACACTCCTCTCGCGCGGACACTCCAGCTCCTCTTTGAGATAGTTGAGCTGATATGCGTGTCTGAAACAAGGGGTGATGTGCGGTGAGGAGCGTTGGTGAGGCTACGGCCAAGTTGGTATTTATTCAGGAGGCACTACAAAACCGACATCTGACTTCGACAACAAAACATCGCTTAGACATTTCTGACACACTTGACTGTCAGTTCTTGAACGCCTGAATCAAAATACTTACTTGGCACACACCCTCAGCTTCACCAGTGCTTGTTTCTTCTGCCCGGCTTCATGGTAGGAAAAGTTAACCTGCCCTTGGCCGTCCAAGAAAAAGAAGCAATAATACATGCAAGCATGCCCACGAGACCAACACATACATCCAGAAATGTGGGGGATGAGCACATTAGTATTTGTTCTGCGGAGTGATCATGGAGTGGTTAGTATTTATTCTGCGGAGTAATCATGGAGCGGTTCTTTAATCTCCAAAAGATAAACAAACTGTGGCGTATGTGGGTTCGACATGAGGAGGGAGTTGGAGAGAACAGAAGGGAGTGAAAGAGGTGCAGGAATGATGAGGTGGCATGATGGGCATGATGAACTGGCATGATGATGAGCTGGCATGATGAGGTGCTGGCATGATAGACGTGCCTCGTAACTGTGCAGGCCCTCTCTAGCGTCACACCCTTTAGTGCCACACACAAACTGACCTGCACAGCGCACATGAAATGAATGCATCGTAATGAATACGAGCAAACGCGTAATATGGCCAGGGTCGACATTGCGAACAAGTGGTGTAGTAGCTGTGCTGCCTATTCATGTGCTTTCAAAATGTCTCATGAGAAGGCATCTTGTTCGTGTGGAAACAAACATCATGGGAAGCAAACAGCAAACAGCAAACAGCAAGCATCGTGTCCATCGCCAGGCAACAACCACGGGGTCAGTAACACCACACAGAAGCACCACACAACGACAATGGGACAAACACCATAAGGGGAATGTCATGTGGCGACGAGAGTGAGCCAGTGACTTGAAAAGCAGGCGACCAGCATGCATGGAATGAGAGTTATTTCAGACGAGAGCTTCTCGAGTCTTCCCAACCCCACCCACTCCACCCACCCCCAATCCACCCATCCCCAATCCACCCACCCCCAATCCACCCACTTCTGCCCTTTTGCCAGCCCACTTCACCTTTCCCGTGCAGCACTTCTGCATGTGTGCGCCAGCGCAGGCCAATCTGATGATGTACCACAGAGATAGATGCAATGAAATCAGACAGATGCAATAAATACAGAAACAAAACAAGAACACAACAAGAGTGCACGGCACAACCACCCGCCTAGGGATATCTGAACGAATGGAGATTTTAAACCACAGGAGCTTGCGAAACCACATTTGCTGCCCGCTCACACCACCATCGTTGCTCACACACACATACGGCACTCGCTGCTGAAAATAAAGACCTTACTAACATAGTCAATCGGCAAACACTTGTGAAAGCCTGGTGTGAAAGCCTGGTGTGAAAGCCTGGTGTGCCAGCCTGGTGTGCCAGCCTGGTGTGCCAGCCTGGTGTGAAAGCCTGGTGTGCCAGCCTGGTGTGCCAGCCTGGTGTGCCAGCCTGGTGTGCCAGCCTGGTGTGCCAGCCTGGTGTGCCAGCCTGGTGTGCCAGCCTGGTGTGCCAGCCTGGTGTGCCAGCCTGGTGTGCCAGCCTGGTGTGCCAGCCTGGTGTGCCAGCCTGGTGTGCCAGCCTGGTGTGCCAGCCTGGTGTGCCAGCCTGGTGTGCCAGCCTGGTGTGCCAGCCTGGTGTGCCAGCCTGGTGTGCCAGCCTGGTGTGCCAGCCTGGTGTGCCAGCCTGGTGTGCCAGCCTGGTGTGCCACCAACCTTGTTTTCCTTGTATCGGCTCATGTCAGCAACACAGTACCTGCACAAGTAGAATGCATGAGCACATGCACACACACGCACACGTGGATGCGCGCACACACACGCACACGCACACGAACACACACACACACACACACACACGCGCGCGCGCGCGCGCGCGCGCGCGTTCACATGCACGTGCACGAACACGCACACGCGCACACTCACGCACGCACGTACGTGCACACACTCACGCGTGCACACCCACACACCACGCACTCCCCCGCATGCGCCCACACGCGTGCGCGCGCACACACACACATACAATGCAGACCGGCTTTGAAAAGGCAATGTATCCGGCATGCATGTATGATGGTAAACAAGACAGCAAGAAATTACCTAATCCTACTGCCAACTCCTTGAACAGTCAGCCGATGCTCACATTTCTGTGGATAGCCAGGTTTTCAATGGTGCACTCTGCAAGAGCAGGATTACTGACTCAAACATCGCGTTCCAAGTACTTACTCCTTGAACAGCTTGTCATAGTATCGCTTGGCTAGCCTCTGCTCCCACGTGCCCTCTGCATCATCCGCGTCTGACCGAATGAACCTGCACCGCGCATTGGGACACATGTGAGTGGTTGACACGCATTGTTGAGAACGCATTGAGATGAAAGACATGCATGCATGCACTGCCATGCATCATCCGCTCCTGACCGAATGCACCGCGCATTGGGACTCATGTGAGTGGTTGACACGCATTGTTGAGAACGCATTGGGATGGGAGACATGCATGCATGCACTGCCATGCATCATCCGCGCCTGACCAGATGAACCTGCACCTCGCATTGGGACTCGCATGGTTTGGGTTCAGCATGGGTTCAATTAAACATCCCGGTCCATCTTGAATGTGGGTGCAGTGCAGCACTGGAGGGTGGCAGGTGGGCAAGAGAAACACGCCCGGAGTGTGGGGTGGGGGCTATAAGGCCATAAGTGAGTTACCTGTAGCTCTCCCTGAGAACGTTCAGGTCGGACTTGAATGCAGGTGCAGCGCTGGAGGGTGGCAGGTGGGTATCAGAGACACGCCCAGAGTGTGTTGTGTTGGAGGTGGGTGGGTGGGGGTCGGTGCTGGGGTTTTGAGGGCGTACATACCGGTAGCTCTCTCTGAGAACGTCCAGGTCGCTCTTGAATGTGGGTGCAGCGCTGCAGGCTGCTGAGCGGCCGTAGAAACGCACTGCCATGGTGTGTGGGAAGGAGTGCAGTGGGATGAGGTTGGGTTGTATAGGGTAGGATGGGGTGGGTGAGGTGAGGTGGGTTGGCATATAATATAATATGTGGCAGACACAGAGCTACCAGAGGAGGGCATGGAGGGGAGGAAGAGGGCATGGAGGGGAGGAAGAGGGCATGGAGGGGAGGAAGAGGGCATGGAGGGGAGGAAGAGGGCATGGAGGGGAGGAAGAGGGCATGGAGGGGAGGAAGAGGGCATGGAGGGGAGGAAGAGGGCATGGAGGGGAGGAAGAGGGCATGGAGGGGAGGAAGAGGGCATGGAGGGGAGGAAGAGGGCATGGAGGGGAGGAAGAGGGCATGGAGGGGAGGAAGAGGGCATGGAGGGGAGGAAGAGGGCATGGAGGGGAGGAAGAGGGCATGGAGGGGAGGAAGAGGGTATGGAGGGGAGGAAGAGGGCATGGAGGGGAGGAAGAGGGCATGGAGGGGAGGAAGAGGGTATGGAAGACATGCGCATGTACACAGTACAAGCATGTATGAGGACACATGCTTGGCTGTATATGTGGGCCCATGTGCATGTGGCCATCCGAAAGAGCATGTGGCCATCCGAAAGAGCATGTGGCCATCCGAAAGTGCATGTGGCCATCCGAAAGTGCATGTGGCCATCCGAAAGTGCATGTGGCCATCCGAAAGTGCATGTGGCCATCCGAAAGTGCATGTGCACATGCACGTATGTGCAGGCCTGTGTAGCCCTGTGAGTAACCCTTCCGACCACAGGACTGTTCCAGTGCCTGCTGCCGCTCTGCCAACCGCCCTTACCCAACCCTCCGGGCCACAGGCACAGGCACAGAGGAGCAAAGGCGGGCGGCAGACTGTGCAGTGCTGTTGGGGGGCTGCAAGGAGGAGAGCTGCAGAGCAGGCAGAGACCCTCGGCTTTGGCTGGCATGAGCAGACACCAGCCCCCCGTGTGAAAAACATGTGCCTTACTGACCGATAAGAAGCAGGTCACAAAAACGGATTTGTAGCGTGCCTTGTGTGGGAGCAACAAGGGAGGTGGAGCTTCCGTGGTGGCCAGCAAGACATAGGTAAGAACAAGACAAACAAAGGTGCATGCAGCATGCCCCTAACAACATTCTGCATGGTAGAAAAAATGATATTCTCTGACATATAAAGCCAGTTTCACGACATTGGTACATCGTGGTGAATAAGACTAATTGCAGCGTTCGACAATGAATGAACTATCGTTGTACGTATTGTTGTTGTGCCGGGGCCTGACCCAGGACTGACCATAGTCGTGGATGAACTTTTGGTGCTGCTGAAACGCATTCAGCGAGGAGCCTCACTGAAGAGATGTGTCAAGGGGACTGACCATAGGGACTACCACGAGGACTGACTGACCATAGTCGTGGACGAACTTTTGGTGTCGCTGAAACGCATTCAGCCCCAAAAGATGGTCGCGATAGTGCCTGAGAGAGGCGAAGAGAAGCGAAAGTGACAGTAACGAGGGGTGAATGAAAGGGTGAGTCGACCTTAAAGAAATTCCGCGCATTCAGCGGCAGCGCGTTTTTGTGTTAGTGCCTGAGAGAAGGACGAGAAACGAAAGTTAATGTTGCGAGATGTAAGGGGGTATTTCAGGTGTCTCGTTTACCGTGTTAGCGTGACTAATTCACGAAGCCAAAGCTCAAAATGAGAATTATTGTGATAACGGCTACGATCAGCAAGGAGCCAACCCCGAGAGACGAGCACGCACTGCTGTTGGTGCTGCTGCGAGAACACTTTGTCGTGCAGCCTCGAGAATGACGCCATGCTGCGACGCGCCTCGAAAGAACGACCGAACTGCTGCGACGCGCCTCGAAAGAACGACCGAACTGCTGCGACGCGCCTCAAAAGTACCTCTTGACCTTTCACCCTCGAAAAGGCCTGACGATGGGTCCGCGGCTTGCGTCGAGTTGAGGAGCATTAACCAGAGGCTTTGGATGGGACGATCATGAAACGCTCGAGGGATTTACGCAAGGCAATGGTGGACGATCAAGAAGCAGAGCACAGGGATTGCCCGTTCTGGCTGGGGGCTAGGACAAGAAGGGAGTGGGGGATTCGATAGACCGAACTTGTCTGAAATGTACAGTCCGACACCATCGGAAATTTACAAAAACATTTGAAGCATATTCTATGTTATACAATTTGAAGCACTAACAAAGCAAATTTCATGTGAACAACACGCCATTTTATGTACACACGCCTTGTCAAGTTAACACCTTCCCCCTCCACTACCTTCCCCATCTCCACCTACCCTCCTCTCTTCCCGAGCCTCAACCGCAGCTTCAGCCCGAACGCGATCCCGGTCCTTGGGATATGTCCAATACAACCACCCATAGCACGCGCAGCAAATCGCAAATGGCACCGCCATGGTCCAAAACAGACCCAGCGACAATGCCTCCGCATTTTTCGCATCTGCTGCCATTTCTGCGTGGCTCCTGCTGTTGCGGCTGCACGCGCTACTGCTGCTAACACCACTCCCGCTATCGCCACCCAAAGCAGTGGTATCGGCAGGTTCGGGCGAGGGTGGGATGTACCCGAACCAAGCCTGGGCGAGGTAGCCCACAGTTGGTGGGGCAAAGGCTGCTATGGACATTTCAAAGGTTCGGTCGAGCGCGTATATGTCTGTGCGTAGGCGCTCAGAGACAATCTCTGCAAATATGGGGCTGGGGTATAGGCAATGGGGAGGGGCGAGGGGAGCGGAAGAATTTTGTGCCGACTTGAAGAGTTTTGTGCCGGCCCAAATACATGTTTGAAGTTTGAAGGTTTGGTTGAGGGCGCACACACATATGGGGCTGGGGGGTACTGCTTTTGAGTCGACTCAAAAGCGTTTGAGGGCGCACAGACATATGGGGCTGGAGGACGATAGTTGGAGAGATGGGGAGGGCCTCGAGGGGAAGGGAAAAGAGCAATGAAAGACGGAAAGCGCGAAAGAGGGAAAGAGAAACACAGGAGAGAGAAAGAGGCAAAGATAGGAGGGGCAGCGTGGAAGAGGTAATGAGAGAAAGAGAGAAGAAAAGCAAAAAATACAACAGAAGTGATGGTGTGTTGCCATGATGCACATGAGGCACCATGCTCTCAGTCATTGCTGGCCTTATTCTGAAGTCCCACAGGAGCGAACCATCTGTTTCACTGTTGCTGCCCTGCTTGTTTCTTGCACGCATTGCTGACCTGCTTCCAGAAACACTCACTTGTTGGTACCAGCCGCATTCCACGAGATCAGAAACCCCATCAGGGTCAACACCATCAGGTACACCCCAAAATACTCGTTCGAATGCGGCACCACCCGCAGCAGCACCGTAGACAGCACCACCGCCGACCCAGCACTGATCTGCGCACACACCAGCCTCCCTCCATCCGGCCACCTCCATGCCATCACATCCCCAAACCACCCGCCGAACAGGCCTCCCAGGCTGCACGCGACGGTGAAGACGGAGAGCAGAAGGGCAGTGGAGGCGTGGGAGAAGCCGAGGAGCTCGAACCACATGGGGAAGAATGCCCCTGCTGCCCAGGGGAAGGAGCCTACTACGCCTTGTGCTATGATCAGCTGGAAGGTTCGGATTCGGAGGACTTTGAAGACGTCTGAGAGGAACGTGGAGGAGGAGTGAGGAGAGGAGAGGGGGACAGGGGGGAGTGGGGAGGGGTGGGGATGCGAGTGGGGAGAGTGCGGGGATGGGGAGGAGGAGTGACGGTGGTGGGAGGAAGTTGGTTGGAGTGGGGTTGATTCGTTGGCTTGAGAAAGCTGCTGCTCCTGCTGCTGTTGCTGCTGCTGCTGCTGGTGCTGCTGCTGCTGGTGGTGCTGCTGCTGCTGATGGAGGTGGTGGTGGTGGTGCTGCTGCTGCTTCAACTCTAGGGTACGGTCTTCAGATAGCAACGGCTCTACAGTGCGCTCCTCTTGTGACCCGGGTTCGTCAGTCAGACAGGTCAACGCTTCTATTGATCTGATCGAGAGAGGTGGGAAAGGCGGCAAGAATGGGAGAGAGGGAGGTGGGGAAGCGAGGGAGGTGGGGAAGCGAGGGAGGTGGGGAAGCGAGAGAGGGGGAGAGTGGGCGAAGGAGGGGTGGAGTAAGGGTGCTGATAGCAATGGCTCTGCTGTCCGCTCCAGTTGTGCCCCAGGAACGTCAGTGAGGCCAGTCAAGGCATCAACTAACCTGGTGGAGAGAGGTGGGAGAGGGAGACGAGCGAGAGAGGGACATGTGGAGGAATGAAAGGAGAGGGGTGGAAAGAGGGGTGGAAAGAGGGGTGGAAAGAGGGGTGGAAAGAGGGGTGGAAAGAGGGGAAGTGTGGTGGTACTGATAGAAGCTGCTCTGCAGTGCACTCCTCTTGTGGCCAGAGCAGGCAGGGGGGACAGTGGGGAGCAAGGCGACGGTGGGGGGCAGTGGGGAGCAAGGCGACGGTGGGGGACAGTGGGGAGCAAGGCGACGGTGGGGGACAGTGGGGAGCAAGGCGACGGTGGGGGACAGTGGGGTAGAGTGGCGGTACTGATAGAAGCGGCTCCGCAGTGCACTCCTCTTGTGGCCGGGGAATTTTCAGCCAGAGCAATCAACGCGACGACTGACCCAATAGAGTGAGGCCGGAGAGACAGGGGGACAGTGGGGAGCAAGGCGGCAAGAAAAGCGGTGAATCCCATTCTCGAATTTTCAGGAGAGAGAGAGAGAGAGAGAGAAAAAAAAAAAAAAATTACTTGACCAAGGGCGTAAGGTGGCTTTTGAGACGTCTCAAAAGTTGACCAAGGGCGTAATGTGGAGGGTAAAGGGCCAGAGAACGACAGCGAGACTACGGCTGACGGCAGTGACGAGAACGAACAGCATGCGCCACCTGGAAAGGCCAACAAAGGGGTAGCAGGCGAGGGATGCTGAGGGTGAAGGGGAGGATAGCAGTCAACTCAAAACTCACTTGATCAGGAGCATGAGACGTGAGGCACCAGGGGGTGTACTCTTCCAGCAACTGAAATTTCACTCGACCAAGGGTGAAGCGGTGGGATTTACCTTTGAGACGACTCAAAACTCACTTGACGGTGGGTGTGGGGTCGTGTGCGACGAGCCAGAGCACAGCAGCCAGAGCACAGCAGCCAGAGCATAGCAGCCAGAGCACAGCAGCCAGAGCACAGCAGCCAGAGCCAGGCTGACGACAGTGACTATGATGAATGCCATGCGCCAGCCAGCAAGGCCAAAAAATGCATAGCAGGCGAGGGAGATGCCGAGGGTGAAGCCGAGGATGTATTGTGGTATGCCATGTAATGTAAACGATTCAAAACTCACTTGACCATGGTGGGAGCCGGGTTGTGTGCGAACAGCCAGAGCACGGCCGCCAGAGCCAAGCTGACAAGCGTGACTATAATGAACGCCATGCGCCAGCCAGCGAGGCCAAAGAATGCATAGCAGGTAAGGGAGATGCCAAGGGTGAATCGGTGAACATTACTTCTGAGTCGACTCAACGCTCACTTGACAGTGGTGGGAGGGGGGTCGTGCGCGAACAGCCAGAGCACAGCAGCCAGAGCCAGGCTGACGACAGTGACTATGATGAAGGCCATGCGCCAACCAGCAAGGCCAAAGAAGGCGTAGCAGGCGAGGGAGATGCCGAGGGTGAAGCCGAGGATGTTGCCAAAGTTGGTGACGAACTGCAGCCAGCCGAACGCCATGCCCCTCGTGCTGTTGCTGGCTGAGTCGGCGACGAGTGATTGAATGGCCGGGATGACCAGGGCCAGCCCGACCCCATTCAGACCCCGCCATGCCGCCACCTGGGGGTAGGGGAAAAGGCGGGGTTGGTGGATGGGTGGGGAAGAGGGAGGAAGGAGAGAGGTGGTGAGGGAAGGGTGGTGGGGCATCTTAAGTGTGTGTGAAGGTATGACGATGGTGTAGCAACAGCTGTTGGCGAACTGTAGCCAGCCAAGGCCAAGGCCAAGGCTATGCCACAAGGAATGTTGCTGGCGGAGTTAGTGACGTGACGAGTGACAGGCTGGGTGGGATGACGAGCGCTAGGCCGGCTCCGTTCAGGCCCGTCCTTACCGCCATCTGCGGGGTAAAGCACGGCGGGACGGAGCGGAGGAAGAAAGAGAGGGTGGGCGGGGTGGGCAGGGAAGTGGGTGGTGGGAGTGGGAGAGGGTGTGCGATCGCATTTGAAGAGCAAAGCCAGAGTTGGGCAGCATGGCGGGCCAGCAAGAGAAAGTGCAGCCGGCGGAACGCTAGGGCCACACATGGTAGCCAGCCAGAGTCCCTTTGGAGAATAATCCAGAGTGATTCCATGGGGTAGAAGAGAGAGAGAGAGTAACCTCATAGAAGATGGTGGCGAGCGATGCCAACGCCCAGAGTGGCGATGGCCCACGTGAACGCACCCACTGCAATTACTCGCACTCACATGCAAGCGGTGGGCAGTTGCAAGTGGCAGGCGCAAGTCACCCCGCCCATTCAACTCGAACAGAGCTGTTCAATTGTCCCCTGACTCCTCCTTACCTCATAGTAGTTGGTGGCAACGCCAACGCCCAGAGTGGTTTTTGAGACGTCTCAAAAGTCGTCTACTTCTTTTAGACTGCTGCTCGCCTAATCACATGGCTGACCTTACCTCATAGTAGTTGGTGGCAATGCCAACGCCCAGAGTGGCGATGGCCCATGTGAATGCACCCACTGCAATCACTCTCACACGAGCCATCCAGTGGGCCAGCCATGGGGCGAGCGGGCAGGTTAAGGCCTGGCAGGGGTCACAGAATGGAGGGGAGGACATGGAGAGCACAGAAAGTTCGGAAGGAGGAGTATGGAAGCTGGAAGGCGCTTCAAAGCACTCACCGCATCCAGTGACGTGATAAAAGTGATGTTTTGAGACGTCTCAAAGCACTCACCGCATCCAGTGACGTGATAAAAGTGATGTTTTGAGACGTCTCAAAACACTCACCGCATCCAGTGACGTGATAAAAGTGATGTTTTGAGACGTCTCAAAGCACTCACCGCATCCAGTGACGTGATAAAAGTGATGTTTTGAGACGTCTCAAAACACTCACCGCATCCAGTGACGTGATAAAAGTGATGTTTTGAGACGTCTCAAAGCACTCACCGCATCCAGTGACGTGATAAAAGTGATGTTTTGAGACGTCTCAAAGCACTCACCGCATCAAGTGACGTGATAAAAGTGATGTTTTGAGACGTCTCAAAACACTCACCGCATCCAGTGACGTGATAAAAGTGATGTTTTGAGACGTCTCAAAACACTCACCGCATCAAGTGACGTGATAAAAGTGATGTTTTGAGACGTCTCAAAACACTCACCGCATCCAGTGACGTGATAAAAGTGATGTTTTGAGACGTCTCAAAACACTCACCGCATCCAGTGACGTGATAAAAGTGATGTTTTGAGACGTCTCAAAACACTCACCGCATCCAGTGACGTGATAAAAGTGATGTTTTGAGACGTCTCAAAACACTCACCGCATCAAGTGACGTGATAAAAGTGATGTTTTGAGACGTCTCAAAGCACTCACCGCATCAAGTGACGTGATAAAAGTGATGTTTTGAGACGTCTCAAAGCACTCACCGCATCAAGTGACGTGATAAAAGTGATGTTTTGAGACGTCTCAAAGCACTCACCGCATCCAGTGACGTGATAAAAGTGATGTTTTGAGACGTCTCAAAACACTCACCGCATCAAGTGACGTGATAAAAGTGATGTTTTGAGACGTCTCAAAGCACTCACCGCATCCAGTGACGTGATAAAAGTGATGTTTTGAGACGTCTCAAAGCACTCACCGCATCCAGTGACGTGATAAAAGTGATGTTTTGAGACGTCTCAAAACACTCACCGCATCAAGTGACGTGATAAAAGTGATGTTTTGAGACGTCTCAAAACACTCACCGCATCAAGTGACGTGATAAAAGTGATGTTTTGAGACGTCTCAAAACACTCACCGCATCCTGTGACGTGATAAAAGTGATGTTTTGAGACGTCTCAAAACACTCACCGCATCCAGTGACGTGATAAAAGTGATGTTTTGAGACGTCTCAAAGCACTCACCGCATCAAGTGACGTGATAAAAGTGATGTTTTGAGACGTCTCAAAACACTCACCGCATCCAGTGACGTGATAAAAGTGATGTTTTGAGACGTCTCAAAACACTCACCGCATCAAGTGACGTGATAAAAGTGATGTTTTGAGACGTCTCAAAACACTCACCGCATCCAGTGACGTGATAAAAGTGATGTTTTGAGACGTCTCAAAACACTCACCGCATCCAGTGACGTGATAAAAGTGATGTTTTGAGACGTCTCAAAACACTCACCGCATCCAGTGACGTGATAAAAGTGATGTTTTGAGACGTCTCAAAACACTCACCGCATCAAGTGACGTGATAAAAGTGATGTTTTGAGACGTCTCAAAGCACTCACCGCATCAAGTGACGTGATAAAAGTGATGTTTTGAGACGTCTCAAAGCACTCACCGCATCAAGTGACGTGATAAAAGTGATGTTTTGAGACGTCTCAAAGCACTCACCGCATCCAGTGACGTGATAAAAGTGATGTTTTGAGACGTCTCAAAACACTCACCGCATCAAGTGACGTGATAAAAGTGATGTTTTGAGACGTCTCAAAGCACTCACCGCATCCAGTGACGTGATAAAAGTGATGTTTTGAGACGTCTCAAAGCACTCACCGCATCAAGTGACGTGATAAAAGTGATGTTTTGAGACGTCTCAAAACACTCACCGCATCAAGTGACGTGATAAAAGTGATGTTTTGAGACGTCTCAAAACACTCACCGCATCAAGTGACGTGATAAAAGTGATGTTTTGAGACGTCTCAAAGCACTCACCGCATCCAGTGACGTGATAAAAGTGATGTTTTGAGACGTCTCAAAACACTCACCGCATCAAGTGACGTGATAAAAGTGATGTTTTGAGACGTCTCAAAACACTCACCGCATCAAGTGACGTGATAAAAGTGATGTTTTGAGACGTCTCAAAACACTCACCGCATCCTGTGACGTGATAAAAGTGATGTTTTGAGACGTCTCAAAACACTCACCGCATCCAGTGACGTGATAAAAGTGATGTTTTGAGACGTCTCAAAACACTCACCGCATCCAGTGACGTGATAAAAGTGATGTTTTGAGACGTCTCAAAGCACTCACCGCATCCAGTGACGTGATAAAAGTGATGTTTTGAGACGTCTCAAAACACTCACCGCATCCAGTGACGTGATAAAAGTGATGTTTTGAGACGTCTCAAAACACTCACCGCATCAAGTGACGTGATAAAAGTGATGTTTTGAGACGTCTCAAAGCACTCACCGCATCCAGTGACGTGATAAAAGTGATGTTTTGAGACGTCTCAAAACACTCACCGCATCAAGTGACGTGATAAAAGTGATGTTTTGAGACGTCTCAAAACACTCACCGCATCAAGTGACGTGATAAAAGTGATGTTTTGAGACGTCTCAAAACACTCACCGCATCCTGTGACGTGATAAAAGTGATGTTTTGAGACGTCTCAAAACACTCATCGCATCCAGTGACGTGATAAAAGTGATGTTTTGAGACGTCTCAAAACACTCACCGCATCCAGTGACGTGATAAAAGTGATGTTTTGAGACGTCTCAAAGCACTCACCGCATCCAGTGACGTGATAAAAGTGATGTTTTGAGACGTCTCAAAGCACTCACCGCATCCAGTGACGTGATAAAAGTGATGTTTTGAGACGTCTCAAAACACTCACCGCATCCTGTGCGCCAGCCATGGGGCGAGATGGCACGTGAATGCCTTGGGGTGGTGGGTGGGGAAGAGGTAGGGGAAAACTAGTGATATGAACAAGGGGTACATGTGGGCTTTAAGGCGGTTCAGAGCACTCATGCGATCCAGTGGACTAGCCAGGGGGCGAGTGGGTTGGTTTAAAATGATGGGGGTAGAAGGATAATTATAGTGGGAACGGGGAGTATGTGAGTCTCAATGCCATTTGAAGCACGCGAGACAGTCAGTACACCAACCATGAAGCGAGAGGACACGTGAAGGCGTGGTGGTGGTGGTGGTCGGCATGGGAGAGGTTGGAAGGAGCGGTGAGGGTTGGAAGGAAGAGTGAGGGTTGGAAGGAGCGGTGAGGGTTGGAAGGAGCGGTGAGGGTTGGAAGGAGCGGTGAGGGTTGGAAGGAGCGGTGAGGGTTGGAAGGAGCGATGAGGGTTGGAAGGAGCGGTGAGGGTTGGAAGGAGCGGTGAGGGTTGGAAGGAGCGGTGAGGGTTGGAAGGAGCGTTGAGGGTTGGAAGGAGCGGTGAGGGTTGGAAGGAGCAGGTTGAGGGTTGGAAGGAGCGGTGAGGGTTGGAAGGAGCGGTGAGGGTTGGAAGGAGCAGTGAGGGTTGGAAGGAGTGGTGAGGGTTGGAAGGAGCGGTGAGGGTTGGAAGGAGCGGTGAGGGTTGGAAGGAGCAGGGTGAGGGTTGGAAGGAGCGGTGAGGGTTGGAAGGAGCGGTGAGGGTTGGAAGGAGCGGTGAGGGTTGGAAGGAGCAGGGTGAGGGTTGGAAGGAGCAGGGTGAGGGTTGGAAGGAGCGGTGAGGGTTGGAAGGAGCGGTGAGGGTTGGAAGGAGCGGTGAGGGTTGGAAGGAGCGGTGAGGGTTGGAAGGAGCGGTGAGGGTTGGAAGGAGCGGTGAGGGTTGGAAGGAGCAGGGTGAGGGTTGGAAGGAGCAGGGTGAGGGTGGGCTTCAAGTCGGTTCACATCACAGCAAATGAAGCCGTCACAGCAGATGACACTGGGCCGGCCAGGGGACTAGGGGGGGTGGGGCGGCATGTAATCTCTCTCCCCCCTCTCCCTCACCAACCAATTTTTCCCCAATTCCCCCATTCCCCCATTCCCCAAATTCC